AAAGCTACACTCGGTGCATGTATAACCGGCGGTCGGTAATACACGTAATGTGCCAATGTGCCAAGTAGTTTTTTTTTTTTTACGAGCTCACGGTTGATACAAAATTTATGTTTTGCCGCGGCTCAGATAATTACAATACCGCCGAATTACTTAATAAGAGATGCCGTGACACTTTAAAATTGCAACGCTGGTGCGGCTTTCTGACATGAAAAAATTCGCATGTTATGCAATTTATTCGACATGATAGAATTAGAGCAGGTAATACCTTGGTGGAATATACCTACATACTACAAGTTGACTTTGTTGAAAGATTTTTAACGATTATTTAGATGGAACAGTAATTCTTTTAGAATAATTATGCCCTTGAAAATGAACTTTCAAATATTATATACTTGTTGCTGTGAATTTTCATTAAAAATAGAGAAAGAAGAACAGTAATTATTATTAACCACAATTTCGTTGTACTAATTAATATATAATTTCATTTCATTTTTTTTCTTTACTGATTTCTGTACTATTTTACTTTTCTCAATTCCTTCTTTTTATAAACTTATTTTTTTCAATCTTGCTGTGAGTTTGTTCACTCTTATTTGTATACCGAACGCCAAGGTATGACTTCGCGATAATTTCAGTGAAATTCTCTTGGAATAATTATATAAAATTTTAGAACGCATTTGCAAAAATTGAATAAGAGACACAGTAATTAATATTTCTCACAATTTCGTTGCACTAATTATTTTATTCTTTATTGCATTCTGTGTCAAGTGATTTCTCCCAATTCCCTCCTCTCCAAACTGATTTCTAAATTGAAATTTTCGTGCAATTTTACTCAATTCCCCCTCTTTATAAAGTCTCACCGTCGATCTGATTACTCTTATTCCAAGTCAACAATTTCACATTTCAATCGTAAAATGTTACTTTGTTTAATCACAATTTATCGGCGTTAAAGTTGCATAAAAATGTAATCGAGAAATTTCTGCATTACCGTAAGCATTGGAACTAAAAATATTTTCGTAACGCAACCGCGTGAAACGTGTCGTTATTTATTGACTCCAATTACGTGACT